GACCAAACATGTAGTTTTCTGATCTTCCTGCCCAGTCTCATCTCTCAGGGACTGTAGTGTTGGTATCCATTAAACATGGACTTTTTCTAATTCGGTTTGACTTGGTCTGATTCGGTTGATTATGTCAGCGGAGAGATTTATTGGGGTGCAAAAACTTTTCAATCAGTACTAAGGCTCCTTAAAAAACTTCAGAATAACCTGTCAGATTACTGAGCTATCTCACACCTACAGACATACCAGAAGGAATCTAAGTCTGCTTCATTGAGATACTCGAGCATCCATGTTCGCCAAGACAGAGGAGCAGCCTCCGTGCCCTCCAGCCGATGAAGGGACAAAGAAAAGTATGAGGAATAGTAGTTTTTTTACTCAGCCATAGTGAACAAAACTATGTCATCTGCAAGAAAATGGGTGGAGCTGGAGGTCATTGTGTTAAGTGAAGAAAGCCAGACTCACAGACTGATATCTTGTACTTCCATATGCAGAATCAAAATTTTTTTAAAAAGAAGACATTAAAGTGGGCAGAAGATTTGGGAAGAGGAAGAGGAGCAGTCTGATGAGGAGGCAAAGCACATGACCTACGTGTGTGAAAATGTCATGATGAATATGCACCAGCAAAAAGTAATAAATTAAAAACTATAAACTAAGTCTTGATTTTTTTTTTCTTTCTGTGAATAGGGGTGCTGAAAGTTACCGGTGGCAGTGTTTTTTCCCACTGACGTCACATTTTACTAAATGAATCAAATCCGTTTTTTTCAACCGGGTTGCAGCTTAGCCTCCAAATGTGAGCATCACACACACATTCCCCGCCCCACACTTCCAAGTCCCCAAGGGGGTGAAAGTTTGAAGTTGGGTTGTTCCTCTTTCTTGCCTTTGTTTTTTATAATCGAAACGATGGGATAACCCAGCTGAGGGCAAATCTACCCAGCTTGCTTGCAAATGCTCTCCCCGTGAGCACCTGCTTCGAAAAAGAATTCCAATTTCGGTACAATTCGGAAAGTCTTTGGGGGTTCCTCAGCGATATTAGATAATTGAATATAGCTTTCTCTGGTTGAGAAAAAAAAATCTCACACATGCAACCCCCCCCCACGCCCGCCCCGAACTCCCAACTCCCTCAGCGCACTAGTCAATTCTTATGACAAAGTTAATCTGGAGCGTGACTTATGGAGTCCCAGTGGGAGGTCACTGGGGCCGGTAAATATGTAAACAGGGCTTTTTCAGTTTCCGTTTCGCATGAATACAAAATAAACTGCGGCCCTCCGCACGCTGGAAAGTTCTTCCTTAAAGTTAATAAAATCTGTCAACTTCCATAAAGGCCAAGAGGAAGGGGGTCCACAGGTGCAGCCGGTCGGCCGAGGCTGGGGAAGTCGGGGCAGCTAATACAAAGCCCTGGGCACCGCGCGCCTCTTTCCATCAATTCTCATCAAGCGTTATTAGTCACCCGCCGCCTCGGAGGTGCGTCCGCGCTCGCCCCGCAGAAGCGACAATGACATTTGGCCGCGCTGCAGGTGCGGCTGTGTGTGGCCGCGGCCGAGTGGGGCCGCCTTTGTGGCGTTCTGGTTCTTTGATCTGGGCACAAAGGGCGGCGGAGCTGCAGCCCCTTAGCTTTCTGCTCGCAGCTCCGCCCGCGCGGGAGGGGACGAGCCGGGAGGAGTGGCAGGCTGAGAGAAGGGGCCTCGGGAGGAGGGGGAATCCATAATATTTATTTCAACAATAGCTTCAAATCTTTTTAAACATCATAAGAACACGGCTCATTAAGCCCACAACAGCCTTGAAATTGTATTATAAAACCGCAAAACAGAAATCAATACATTTGCTAGAAAGGAGGTAATGAAATATATTGAGTTGCCTGAGAAGTGGTTTGTATGAATCATAATATTATTATGTGCGCATCAATTCCATTCCAATACTTAAAGTTAACCAGCTAGCGAAGAGCACCCTGAACCCTCGTTAAACAAACTCTCTCTGCTACTCCCCCGGCCGGCGCATCCTGTAATAACCGAGGGAGGGGGCCAGATCAATGTTGCCCACCCTGGGCTTCAGCTGCTCTATTGCTTCCTGGCCTGATCAATACCGCCTCACAATGGCCCGGGGAAAGCCGGGGGCAGGCCCGGAACTTCAGGCTGGGGCTTCTATCCCCGAGCAACGCCACCGCCAGCTTCTCGAAGGGGCTCTGGCCAGCTGCTCAGCCCCTCCCAACCCAGCCCGCAGCTTCCGTCCTGCGCACCCCTCTGATCAGGAACTTCTGGTGTCTAGGCTTCCTCTACCCTACTAGGCGTGACGTTTCCAGTGGCCCTCAGCACCTGACACTTACCCCATTCAAGGGGTGATCTTCAACTTTTTTTTTCCTCCTTGCTTTTCTCTCGCAAATAGATACTGCTTTCTTCCTTGCAGCGGGCGAACTGAAACTGACCGCGTTTTTAGCCCTTCTCTTTACTTTTTCTCCCAAAGCAGGACCGGATTCTGGAAAGCTCTGTACAGGAGTCTGGAAGTCGCACGGTAACATGGTTAGAGGGTTGTGGGACCTAAAGCTTCTGCAAGTTGAGGAGGAGGTTCTTTGGAATAAGAACTGTTTGGCTTTTCTAAACTTAAAAAAAAAATAAAAGAGATCTTAGGAGGGCTCTAAAGATGGAGGTCTGGGAGCTGGAGCCTCTTTCGGGAATCTCACTCAATAGACAGTCAAAAACCACAAAAATAAAAATGTCCTATATACAAGCAACTCAAAAGAGCCTCCAAACCTAATAGCTGTCATTCGGTCTGGTTCTCTTGCTCGGGTGACCCTAGAGCTAGTAGGGTCAACCAGAGACAAGAAGAAAGTAGGAAGATCCAAAAGGGTTCAGCTTTGCAGAGGTAGCCAGTCAGCCCCCCACTCCCCCCCACCCCAGGGGGTTGTCTGAGGCTATAAGATAGGACTCCTCTTTGTCCATCCCCTGACTTCACCTGTGGCCCTCGCTCTGTGCATTGGAACCAAATGTTGAAGCAGGAGGAGCTGTGGGGTCCAGGGACACTGGCCACTTTATGAACACAATCACATATAAACGGACACACATGCACACAGAGACAAAGCCTCATCCATGCACAGAGGCACACACACACACAGCGAGGTCCAAGCTCTGGGACAAACTTTTGCCTCAGCGAACACCTCAAAAGTACAGCTGGAAGGCCCCAGACAATAGTTCCCTGCCTCTGCAAAACATTTGGTCATGTTTGGGGGGTATTTTGGGTTGGCATCACCTGGGAGGGAGGGAACAATTGATTTCTATCGGGTTCGGAAAAGGTACGCTAGTCAGGCACAGGGAAGCCCCATCCAACAGAACCAGTTTCAAATGACAAGTTGAGGGGTGGAAGTCAAGGCTGAAGCTGCACCCCACTGTTTTTTTTTTCATAGTTCACAATGTTATGATTACTGTTTCAACCCCAGTGGCTTTGACATTCTATCCAGAGAAGGGATCACTAACGCTGAGACCCGATGTTTCTCTTTTGCTCTTGCCTGCGACACAAGCTTTTACTTCAGCCTCTGTAGCTAACCATCTCACAACCATTGTCCCCGCTGTGGCTGTGGTTCCAGCCTGGGCTCTCGAGGCAGGGACACTTGTACACAATCTCTTTCAAATTCACTCTTACATGGCTGTTATTGCCCAGCTTGCTGGGGTTGGCTGTGGGGCTGACAGTCTACGGCTAATCCAGAATCACAGAAGAGACAGACATGGAGACTCGTTTCCCCATGCTACACCTCCCCACCCCTTCCCTTATTCCTCTTTCCCCACCTCCTTTTCCTTTCTTTTCCCTCCCTGTGGCCTGCTGTCTCCTGCCCCTCCCCCATGGCCTGCTGTCTCATGCCCCTCCCCCACTGCTTATCCCAGAATTGATCACTCCTGCCATCTTGCCTGCTTCTAGAGACAGACTTTGCAATGACCCGTTTCTGCTCTTCCTGGCTGAGAAAGAACAGGGGTCATACAGACAGCATGAACACCATGTCTTTGCTTGGAGAGGGAGTGCCGTTCTTACCACACAATCCCAGTTAGACACAATTCGCTGGCTGAGGCCAGTACTGGCCACCCATTGACCAGGCAGATGACTGAGTCACCTCAAAGCCCCAAAACTGGTTTATTTTGAACCCAGAACACTAAGTAATAGCCCCACATTTTTGCATGAGCTAAAACCTACGTAAAATGTCCTGGTTGTTTTGAGAACCAAACTAGGAAGTAATTGGTTCTGTGTTGGGTTTTTTTTTTTTCTCAGATTTTCTTTAAATAATTTTTTAACATTGTTTTCACGTCAGGCATGCACCCGAGGAATGAAACACGAAGAAAAACTTAGTACAAAATTCTCTGCACTGCAGTGCAGAAACGCCTACAAAAAATTAGCCCTGATGATTTAATTTTGAAACTTCAGAGGAAGAAGCTCAGTGACAAGAAAAAGGATTGCCCAGGCCTAACATATTAAACTAACTTAAACAAAATAACTCAATCATCCTGGGAGTTAGCATTTGCCATAATTTGGTTTATGGAACCAATATTGAGTAAGAAAGTCAAAATGATTTCTTTCTCTGTAAATTTTTTGGGGGTTTGTTTATAAATGCAGAGATTCCACCATAAAATACATGAGTTTTCTTTAAACCAAGCATGCAAAACATTAGGAATTCCTCCAAAATGGCAAGCAATTTATTCTTGTTTACTCTATTTATTGCCTCCAGGGTGTCCATAAAGTCTGGAAACATAGGCAAATATAAACAATGTGATCAAGGACATCTTCTGTCATAAAAAGCAGCTAATAATATCTAGATCCCCAAGCCTTGCGGACATATTTGATTATCTCTGTCGTATAGGCAGTGCATGTGAAAATCCAATTCACATTTCCCAGGTTATATTCAAATACACAGTGTAATTGGGAGTAAATATGTCTTCCTCTACATAATAATGGATTCCATTTGTGCAAAGTTTTCTGGAGGGCAGAGCAAATTGAAAATGGGTAGTACAGAAGATAGTTTTTTTGTGAAGCGAAGAATGATCGCGAAAATTGATGGTTTCTGACGTGGTTTTCACAAACTGGGATTTCTCCAAATCCAGACACAGGATGATGAGTTAATGAGGATGATGAAGATGAGGGTGGCAGTCCAAGTGCCTCGGCCTCTGTTGTGTGGCAGATGCTCAGCTGTAGACTCGACAGGGTTCATCTCAGCGGAAACACCTACCTGTTCTGCTTGGATCAGGGACGGCTGTAGGCACAGCGACAGAAAACAGCAATGCCCTCGTTTTGCTGGAGTTGAGTCTAGGCCTGGGAAGTCACTAGGGATGAAGTATGCCAGATCAGGAAGACTACAGAAAGAAAAACATCTTTAGGTTGTGTGACATTGTGTGGAATGTTCTTTCTTACTTCCCTTTAGTGTCAGACAAAATTTCTGTAGGTGCAAAAGTCCTAGAATGAATTCCTGTCAACTCCATTGTTAGGGAAGCTCTCTTAATTTCCAAGATTCCAAACTCACACATGCTGCCATCCAAAGATAAGAAAAGTGCTCGCCACAGGGGCTGGCCACTCTACTGGAGGCTTGGTCACACTGAAACTACTTGAAAGATACTTTTGGAGTGGGCTGGTAGTGGTGATGGACACCTTTAGTTCAAACACTTGCAAGGCAGACGTAGGCACATTTCTGGGAGTTCTAGGCCAACCTGGTCTACAGAGGGAGTTCCAGGATAGCCAAGGTTACACAGAGAAACCCTGTCTCAAACCCACCTCCTCAAAACAAAGGAAGAGAGAAAAATACAAAAAAAGAAACCTTTGAGCCACTTCCGAAGTTCTGGCCCAGAGTTGGACATCAGTCATATGCCTCCTTGGGATTTTTCATTCTTGAGAGTAATGGTGAGATCATCTTCATGTGGCATCTAAGGGACAGACAAATGTGCTTTGAGACGTTTTGAGTCAGTGATGATATTGATTGCATTAATAAGTCGGGACTTACAGAGCTGGGGTGAGTATTCTGTATTGGGCGGAGCGCTTGTCCCCATGTAGAATCTTATCCCCTCAGCCTCCCTTCTTGCCACTGACCCCACGCTCACCTGCTGCACATCAAACCATCTGAGAGTGAGTGTGAGCAAATCTTGTTTACCACACTGCCTGAGTTAGAGCCTACACACACATCCATACATGTGCGTGCACACACACATACACATACCCCTGTTGGGAGGGCCCAGGTCTGAGTACCTGCATGTTTTGGGGGCATCTGTGTTTGCAGATGTGTGTGTCTTGCCAATCACAGAAGGAATGGCTTGTCTTTCTACACCCCTGCAATTCTTGGAAGCATTCTATTTATTATTTTCAGCAACCGAAGCAATATTTTGATAGAAAATTGCAAAGGAAACAGTATTTGGGTACCAAAAGTTGTGGCTGGGAGCAGGAGGGAAAAGTCGCTATCATCTAGCAGAGAAATGACTGGCGTCCATCCCTGCAGCTCCTGCCCTGACTTCATAGCCAACATTCTTGTTCAGGTCCTAATGGCTGGTTTTAACTATTCTCCAGTCACAAGGCTCTGGCTTCTTGGCTCTTTGCTGCCCCCCCTCACCTTCTCTGAGGCATGCGTCATTAACTGATGCAGCTTGTTGGATGGCTTCTGTCCAGGAAGCAGTCTCTCCAGATTGCTCCACACAGGACTAGGGCTCTGGAGCAGAGGCAGGTAAAATGGGGAAGACAAAGCTGCCAACAAGCATTGCCTTCAGAGGCACAACATATACACATCCTGGCCTGAGTCTTCTGACTGAGCCCAGGACCAGGGCTCTCCGCTCCTCACCTGTGGAAGTAAAGAGTGCACCCCTCCGCTGTTAAAACCCAGAGCCCTACTTCTGATTTTGCTGAGTTTGACGACTAGACCCGACACCTCCTTGGGAAGGCTGGAGGTTTGATATTTTCACTATCTGAAATGCAGTTCCAAATATCTCCTAGTTACACGTCATCCACCATGAATCCAAGAAAGGCCATTAGCCTAAAGGGAAGGGATGGCAGATGTCCCCTCCTTGGTTGAGCAGGTGGTGTCGGGATCTTGTAAGGCGAATGTGGCGCCATCATAAATTGTCTCTATACCAATTTTGGTCTGCAAAGTTCAGGCAAAGCCTCAAAGATTTCAATCTGGGTTAGAGGGCATGTGGATTTCTCAACTGAGGGAAGGAGGCTGCTTCAGAGAATGCTGACTAGGGCGGGGTTCCCAGTACCTTCAGGCTCTGCAAAAATTAACCAAGATTGCATCTCCTCTCCTCAAGAAAACATTTGGGCTGGGGGCTGGGGACATGATTCCAATCACCCACATTTCACCAAAACCTCTCTTGGAATTTAGAAATTCTACTTCCATGCGGGCCAGAGCACTTCTCTGCCTGAAGGGAAAAATGCTTCCTGGGTTCAGGTAATTTCTCAGAGTTTGCGACACCCACTCTGCGTCTCAGCAGTTACAGGAAATCATGGCCCTAAAAGGAAGAGCTCTAGACATATTGCAAGTCCTCCCTGAAGCTTAATAGTTGCAAGACATCGCCAAACTGTGGCCTTGGCTCCCCGGTAGACCTACTGTCTAGAACCCTACCCTTGGTTCCTAGCACAGCAAAACAAACAAACAAACTGACTCTGCTTCCACTTTTTGTTATTCTGTTTAGGTAGCTGATCAAACAGGCATCATGGAGGTCAACCAGCTGTTTTCCCAGATTCCTGTGGCAGTCATTCTCGATCCCTGAGACCTGATTGTGAGGCAGAATCCCAGGGCAAAGTCCCGCAGGCTGGCGGCAGAGCGCTGATTGGAGTTTTGAATGGCTGTTGAATATTAACCCTGACACCGTCCTGGACAGTAAGTCTCTGGCCGGCACTGTTGACTTTGGGCTGGGCAGTCCCTTTAAACGGCCTGTGTCTTGGGAGGCTGGGCAGCATCCAGAGACTATCCTGTACCCATGTCCTCTCTAGTCATGACAGCCAAAATGTCTCTGGGTGTCTCCAATGCCTCTTCTGGGGTTAGTGTTAACCAGTTGAAAACTGTAGCTCTCTTCAAGGGGAAAAGCCACGTAGTAGTAGATATTTCTGCTCCTCTTGAGAGAGGACTCATGCAAAGAGTGTCTTTCTGAATATAAAGTAAAAGAAAAAAAGTACAACGTATTCTCACCATGTAACAAAATGTTAAACAGCCACTAAAAGTGTTTTAAAGACACTTTGGAGGCTCTACCCTGTGTGATGTGAATCAGGGCAAGACAATGTGGGCGCCACCTGTATTTCTGCATGATGTCCACATCTGAAAACACTAAAAATGTCCCCAAAGGTAAAAACACAACAATTAAAGCCATAGTCATTTCTGGGCAGTAGGCTAATGCAGTACGTACTTCCTTATTAAGCCTTTGTTTTTCCAAACGATTCACCTCACGGGCGTCTTGCATTGCACAACACCAGCTATTCCCAACCCTGGGCTGGGAAGCCGCACACTGCCCTCCTCCTCGGCTCTAAGTCTGGCTTCCTTCTGCACCTCACCGGAAGCAACCCCTGCTTCCCCATTCCTGTGACCATTCCGCTCATTAAACATTCACATCACCAGCTTCACTCTGGGGCTGAGGTCCCAAGGTCAGAATTGTTTACATACACCTTGCTTCTCAGTTGGAGCACTATTTCACTCACTCCTCCCTGACCCCAGCACTGCGCTGGCCTCCGGGGATTGGGACATTCAGTGATGGGAAACAGAGAGGGAGTCCCCATCCGTAGGAAGAAAAGGGTGAACCAATAGACAAAAGCAGTAAGTACAGACCATGAGGTAAGGCAGCTACAGTAAGAGAGCCGCGGAAGCAAACAGCAAAAACACGGAAAATACGAAACCAAACAGGTGTTGAAGCCGGTCACTGGGAGAGAGTTCAGCTTAATTAGGTTGGACGGCCATCCAAGGCCTGCCTCTCTTAGCAAAGGAGAAGTGAAGAGTGGAAAGACTTGTGGGAACAAACTGACAAAGCCTGAAGTGGCAATTTTGCAGACAAAGGGGACAGTAGTGAGGGATGGGATTGGGGTGTGGGTTGGGATTGGGGGTTGCCAAGAAGCAAGAGGTAACTTCCGGTTTCCTGTGTCGGGCTTGGGTTTAACCAGAAAGTGGCAGAAGTAAATCAGATTTTGGGGCCAGGGGCCCTGGGATCTGTCTTCAAGGTGATTCGGGATACTAGAAAATTGTCTTCCTAAACTAGTGAGACCAGCGTGCCAGACCGTATTTCATCAGTGGCACCTCAAGTGGTCTAATGTTGGGCAAAGTATGAGAAGTGCTGGCCTCAACCAGTTCATTGCACCTCGCAAAACAGTATGGACAATAGGCACGAGGGGACATACCTGTAATCCCTCATTCTTGATCTATAGAAGGGTCTCAAATTCAAGATCAGCCTGAGGTATAACGTGAGAATCTGTCTCAAAAAAACTAAACCCAAATTAAATATATACACTTAGAGGAGATGGGTACTATGTGATAAAAGATGACTGAACAACAAAATATCTAATTATACCATCTCTTTCCTCTGGGATGAGGGAGCCACGGTGTAGGAGACAAGTATAGCAACGGTTGTGTCCGTGGCTCTTTTCCGTGGACTGAATGAAGTATGGCCTCGAAATCTAGATGTGACTTTACAAAGGTTCATCTAGGGGGCAATAAATATAGAACTTTTCCTTTTTTTCTTTCTTTCTTTCTTTCTTTCTTTCTTTCTTTCTTCCTTCCTTCCTTCCTTCCTTCCTTTCTTTCTTTCTTTCTTTCATCTTTCCTTCCTTCCTTCCTTTCTTTTTTTTGTCTTTAGTTGTTTTGCTTTTTAAATAAAGGAAAATTCCAAGCCAGTACTCCTTTAATCCCAGCACTTGGGATGCAGAGGCAGGTGAATCTCTAAGTTTGAGGTCAACCTGGTCTACAGAGTGAGTTCCAGGACAACCAAAGTTACTCAGAAGAACCAGTCTCAAAAAATAAAATAAAACAAAAGAAAAAACAAAAGCAAACAAACAAAAACAAAAGAAAAAGAAAACAAGAAGGAAGAAAGGAAGAAAGAAAGTAAGAAAGAAAGAAAGAAAGAAAGAAAGAAAGAAAGAAAGGAATGTTCCTTATTAAAATAGCCTTTGTGAGCATGGTGGTTCACACTTTTAATCCCAGCACTGAGAAGACAGAGGTAGACACATATCTGTGAGTTTGAGACCAGCCTGGCCAATGTAGCGAGTTCTAGTACAACCAGAACTACATAGTGAGATCCTGTCTCAAAAGAAAGAAAGTAAGAAGGAAAAGATACTTATAAATATTTATGATGCTGAGTTAGTGCTCCACATTTTTAAAAACACATGTGTCCTGGGAGCTGATGAGAGAGCTCGGCAGGTAAATACAATTCCACCAGTCCTGAGTTTGATCCTCAGACTCGACTTGATGAAAGGAAAGAACTGAGCACTAATCCTCTGACCTCCACACTCATGCTCACCTTTGCCTACCCACTCTCAGCCCCCACCCCTGCAACCAAAATAAGTTTAAAATCCCCCCCGCCTCCCTCCCTCCCTCGTGTATCTGACTTCTCACCTTTCTATGTGCCAGCTGTTGCTGGTTTCAGGACAGATTCTGCCTCCTTCCATTCCTCAGGGAAAAGGCTGTGCGCCTCTGTCTATCCCGCGGGTCTCGCTACTCAGGTACTTCCTTCAGCTGACCCTTGGCTCCTAAGGGCCTTGTCCTTTGAAGCTCGTGGTCTGTGGTTTCTAGAAACCCTCTCTAATCCTGGAATAAACAGTGTGTTCCCTTCAGAGTGTTTCAGAAAGACCAAGAGTTAGAAAAGGTCCCATCTCCATCAGCACTCTGCTGTAAAAGGATGTGGGTCCATGAGGGCAGAGAACACAAGCCGGCGGATTTCGCCAAGCTTACCCCATGATGGTCAAGCCCACTGACCCATAAGCTCTCTCAGCTCTGTGTCACTCTCAAGGAGACCTAGAAAGGAATGGCTTGCTTCCTTTTCTCCGAGGAACAGAGAAAATCACTGTGTTACTTTTCTGCCTGTATTATCACTGAGAAATTTTCTGTGGAAGGATGCTACTAGTTCAGGGATGGCCTTGGTTGGCACAGTGGATGGCCTCACTGGCTTGCTCTGCTCCATGCTTAGGGTGTAGATGCTAGCATCTCTCAGCAGCCACCCGTGTCCTCAGCGTTCATCCCTGCCAGAGCAGCAGCTCGTACTTGGAGTCTGGGGGCCACTCCCCTGGGCAGTCTGCAGGACAGTAGGCATCAAGAGCTGGCTTGGAACCCCAGACAAAGCCCTGAGCAGGGGAGTTGTTGAATATTTGTCATTCCAGGATTGAGGAAGCTCTGTCCCAGGGTGTGGCCATACGCCAGTGTCCTTTACCTCCTTCTGGACTCTTCCCTGCATGGTTCAGACTTACACAGTGACCTCCGTAGTGTTGGCTGTTGTGAGCACCACCGGGGAGCAATCCTGACGCTTGCCAAACTGCCTGGTATTTAGGAAGTGTTTTCTGTTGCTATAGGAGAATTCCTGAGAATAGGTATTTTATGAGGAAAAAGGGTTATTAACCTTGAATAATGGCCCTCCAGGCTTGGAAGGTGCTCACATCTGACCAGCTGTCAGGGAAAGGCTTTGTGGTAGAAAGAAGAAGAGAAGTCAGAAAACAAGAGAAAGTCAAAGAAGTCACACTTCTGTCCTCTCTGTCTGTCTGTCTGTCTTTCTGACACCTGCTTTTGTGCAACGAATCCATTCTTGAGGCAACTGCATCCATCCCTTCGTGAGGGCAAATTCCCTACCACTCCAATGACTCTCAAAGGTCTCCGTACCCTGAGGACCTCACAATACCTTTATGGGGACTGAGGCCAACCTGTGTTTTCGGTGGGGACAAACCACTCCCAAATAATAACTCCTATTCTTTACTATTTGATGTAGCAAGGCGAGGGCTGAGGACAGACGGAAGGAAAGTAGGTAACAGGCGGGAGGGGAATTCTGGGTGGAACCTGCTCTTTCGCTGTGACCATGTGGATTCCCCCACATAGAAGGCCGGGCCTGGGTCTTGCACTGAAGAACACAGTTCTTCCTGGATTAATGCCCTTCTGTGGGAAGGTCGCCTGTTTATGTCTTTGTTGTGACTGAGCCTGAATCGAACCTTCTAAGGACAAAGATGATAGAAGTTTCTTGCCAGAGGAAAAGTGCAATTTCTGGAATAGCGATTTGACTATCCCCTGGAAGATACTAAGTTTGTAGAGAGAAATCTCAGATACTTCATATTTATTGGATGTCTTATTTGTGTGAAACAATGGCTTCCATTAGAACACTTCCATGTTTGATCGATACACCGCACTTTGATCGTGGTCACCCTCTCTTGCTCTCTTTTATTCCCTCTGCTCCTTCCATCGGTCCCTTTCTATTGCTATGTCTTCGAGATAAATCTAGATTACTCATGCAAGACAGATTGTACAGTATTTGCCTAAGTCCGACTTATTTTGCCCGATACGATTACCTACATTTCCATTCGTTTTCCTGCAAATGGCATTATTTCGTCTTCTGCATGGTTGAATCGTACTCTAGTATACTACCACATTTTATTTATCCTTTTTCCTAGTCTGAAACATCCTGAACATAATTCTTCCAAAAATGTATTATTATGTGAGGAAGGGGCTGCGCAGGCTCCGGTGAGGCCAGAAGACAGCTCTGTGGAGTCAGTTCTTTCCGCCCACCTTGACAAGGGTTCTGGGGATTAAACTCAGGTGAGCAGGCTCACACACTAAATGCCTTTGCCACTGAGTCATCTCCCCAGCCTAGAGCCTGAATATCACTATCCTGTGCTGTTTATTCGGACGCTCCAGGCAGATCTTAGAAAAGTGCCAATTCTCCAGACCTCAGTTTCTTAATCTGTGGTGAGGAATGGTGCCTCCAAGCGCTGCATCCCCTTCACCAGAGTCAGAGGAAACAGTTTTGAGAAGCGCAGCTTGGGGGCCCAGAGTGATCCCAACGAAAGGCCTGGCTTTAGGAGTCCTGTTCTTTTCTGAACATCTCCCTTCTGCAGGAAGCTGAGGCTCCGTCTGATTCCTCTCAAGGCAGCCTCATGCCATGAACGGCCTTGTTGATCTGTCAGGCAAGCTATCTTGGACAGTTTGGGGAGGAACTGTAGGAGTCCCGTAGGAGCAAGAAGCACTTAGCTCCCTCTGCCACACCTGTTGAGATGTGGGTAGCAGACAACACTCAACTGACTGAAAAATATCCCTGGAAACTAGAACGTTGGAACGAGACCTCCGAGTTTTAAGTGCTGGCGAGACTCTCACGTTTGTTAGCCAGGCTACAGGAGCCAAGTGAAACACTCAGTAGAGCGAGTGCCGGGAGTCTGCAGGCTGTGGCCGGCTCCCCAGGCACTTTTGGAGCTCTGAACATACTGCTTGTTTGGTTGGTAGAATCTACTGGAAGATTCCCCCAGGGTTCATCGCCCTTGGGCTTTTTCTCTCAGGTCCTA